GACCCCTACCCCCACTAGCGCGGCCTGGGCCCCCCTGGCCGATCTTACCCCCTATAGATAGATAGATATATAGATAGATAGATAGATAGATAGATAGATAGATAGATAAATAGATAGATATATAGATATATAGATAGATAGATAGTAGATATATATATATACAGATAGATAGATAGATAGATCGATAGATAGATAGATCGATAGATAGATAGGTAGATATATAGATAGATATATAGATAGATAGAGTGATAGATAGATAGATAGATAGATATATAGGCATATAGATATATCGATATATAGATAGATATATATATAGACAGAAAGATAGATATATAGATATATACATTGATATAAACGTATATAGTTATATAGATAGATAGATAGATAGAAAGATATATAGATATATAGACATATAAATATAGATATATAGATATATAGATGTTGATAAATAGATAGGTAGATAGATAGACATATATATAAAGATATATATATATATACATGTAGACCTATATATAGTTCTATATATATAGATATATAGAGATATAGATCGATATATATATATACAGGCATATAGATGGATATATGGATAAATAGATCGATGCATCGATATATATATATATATAGATATATAGATACATCGGTATACATATATATATAGAGAGATAAACATATATATATATATATAGGTATATATGTAGATAGATAGATCGATATATATATACATATATATATATATATAGATATATAGGTAGGTAGATAGATAGATATGCATATATATATATATATATATCGATATATGGGTATATCTATAAGTAGATAGATAGGTAGATAGATCGATCGAACTATTAAGCAATAGTTATATACCGATATGTACAATACACTATGTACATACATGCACACACATGTATATGTATAGATTCCCCTTCCTATGTGTTTGCAAGCCGGGGGGGGGGAAAAACCCTTCCCCCCCAGAAAAAAAAATTCAAAGTGGACCCCCGGGATCTGAGGTTCTCGGGCTCCCTTGGACGTCCTTGGAGAAGGTCACCCGGCTTTCCGGGTCTCCACAAACGCCTTGCCAGCAAACCCAAAACGATCTGAAAAATCATCAAAAAGACTCAAGGGAGGCCCCAGACAACACAAAAGCGCTCCAAGAGGGACTCCAATTGCGTCAGGACGGCCAAAAGACCCCCAAGGTACCCCAAAAAGCTTTCCAAGGGGCCTTCAAAGCACAAAAATCGTCCCATTCCCTCCGTAGAACTTACAATTTTAGCATATTCGCCTTTCGGATTTCATCAGCTTCCAAGACGGTTTCAAAGCCCCCGAGATCGCCTCAAGACGCTGCAAAAGGCCCCCAAGAAAGCTTCAAGACGGCCGAGCCGGGCCCCACGATCGCCCACGAGAGCCCCAAGAGAGCCCAGAATGGAACCAAGAGGCCCCCCAAGGGCTCCCAGCACAGACCCAAAAGGGCCATGGGAGGTCCCCGGAAGTGCCCAAGATGGGTCCAAAGGAGGCTCCAGCGGGCCCAAGCTCCCCAAGACGGCCCAAGAAGGCCCCAGGACGGCCCAGGAAGGCGCCAAAACGGCCCACGAGGGCTCCGAAAACACCCCCACGATGTTTCCGAATGCCAACAAAAAGACCCCCAAGGCACCCCAAAAAGCTTTCCAAGGGGCTTCAAAACACAAAAATCATCCCATACCCTACGTAAAACTTACAATTTTAGCAGATTCGCCTTTCGGATGTCATCAGCTTTCAAGACGGTTTCAAAGCCCCCGAGATCGCTTCAAGACGCCCCAGAAGGCCCCCTAGAAAGCTTCAAGACGGCCGAGCCGGGCCCCACGATCGCCCACGAGAGCCCCAAGACAGCCCATAATGGAACCAAGAGGCCCCCCAAGGACTCCCAGCACAGACCCAAAAGGGCCATGGAGGTCCCCGGAAGTGCCCAAGATGGGTCCAAAGGGGGCTCCAGCGGGCCCAAGCTCCCCAAGACGGCCCAAGAAGGCCCCAGGACGGCCAATGAAGACGCCAAAACGGCCCACGAGGGCCCCGAAAACACCCCCACGATGTTTCCGAATGCCAACATAAAGACCCCGAAGGCACCCCAAAGAGCTTTCCAAGCGGCCTTCAACCCACAAAAATCGTCCCATTCCCTTTGTGCAACTTACAATTTTAGTATATTCGCCTTCCGGATTTCATCAGCTTTCAAGACGGTTTCAAAGCCCCCGAGAACGCCTCAAGACGCCCCAAAAGGCCTCCAAGAAAGCTTCAAGACGACCGAGCTGGGCCCCACGATCGCCCACGAGAGCCCCAAGACAGCCCATAATAGAACCAAGAGGCCCCCCAAGGGCTCCCAGCACAGACCCAAAAGGGCCATGGGAGGTCCCCGGAAGTGCCCAAGATGGGTCCACAGGGGGCTCCAGCGGGCCCATGCTCCCCAAGACGGCCCAAGAAGGTCCCAGGACGGCCCATGAAGGCGCCAAAACGGCCCACGAGGGCCCCGCAAACACCCCACATGTTTCCGAATGCAACGGGCGACCCCCAAGGCACCCGAAAAAGCTTTCCAAGGGGCCTTCAAAACACATAAATCGCCCCTTTCCCTTTGTAAAACTTAGAACTTTAGCATATTCGCTTTTCGAATTTCATCAGCTTTCATGACGATTTCAAAGCCCCCGAGATCGCCTCCAGACGCCCCAAAAGGCCCCCAAGAAAGCTTCAAGACAGCCGAGCCGGGCCCCACGATCGCCCACGAGAGCCCCAAGACAGCCCAGAATGGAACCAAGAGGCCCCTCAAGGGCTCACCCAAAAGGGCCATGGGAGGTCCCCGGAAGCGCCCAAGATGGGTCCAAAGGGGGCTCCAGCGGGCCCAAACTCCCCAAGACGGCCCAAGAAGGCCCCAGGACGGCCCATGAAGGCGCCAAAACTGCCCACGAGGGCCCCGAAAACACCCCCACGATGTTTCCGAATGCCAACATAAAGACCCCCAATGCACCCCAAAAAACTGTCCAAGGGCCTTCAAAACACATAAATGGTCCCATTCCCTCCGTAAAACTTAAAAGTTTAGCATATTCGCCTTTCGGATTTCATCAGCTTTCATGACGATTTCAAAGCCCCCGAGATCGCCTCAATACGCTCCAAAAGGCCCCCAAGAAAGCTTCAAGACGGCCGAGCCGGGCCCCACGATCGCCCACGAGAGCCCCAGGACAGCCCATAATGAAACCAAGAGGCCCCCCAAGGGCTCCCAGCACAGACCCAATAGGGCCATGGGAGGTCCCATGAAGTGCCCAAGATGGGTCCAAAGGGGGCTCCAGCGACTCCAGCGGGCCCAAGCTCCCCAAGACGGCTCAAGAAGGCCCCAGGACGGCCCATGAAGGCGCCAAAACGGCCCACGAGGGCCCCGAAAACACCCCCACAATGTTTCCGAATGCCAACATAAAGACCCCCGAGGCACCCCAGAAAGCTTTCCAAGGGGCCGTCAAACTACAAAAATCGTCCCATTCCCTTCGTAAAATTATCCCGGCAAAGCAACCTAACAGCGATATGTAGTAGCATAGCTGGAGGCATGCAGCAGCGGTAACACTCGCAGTTTGATTTTTTCCCGTGCAAAGCGTGCAGGCTGAAAAGCATTGCAGACACGCGCAGGCTGAAAAGCATTCCGCGACACGTGCAGGCTCACCGCGCACAGCTGCACACGAGCGCAGGCTGAGAAACACCACGCGCATGCAGGCTGAGAAGCACCACGCGAATGCAGACGGACAGACTTAACAGCACCGCCACAACGCAACCTGCATCTCATGGCTCCTCAAGCTCGCGCAGGCCATCCCAGTTGCTGTCGGGCCTTCGCGCAAGCGATCTTCGTCGCGGCAATCTTGTCCGTGAAGAGCTCGGCGAAGGCCTTGGCGATCTGTTCCGGGGGGCCGGATTCGATGATTCTCCGGTCAGGCAAGCCGTGGCTCAAGAGTTGGTTGAAGCTTCTGGGGCGCGACAGGCTGACGTAGTAGGCAAGCCAAATGGACTCCTTCTTGAGTCCTGGCGGAAACGCCCAGTGCACGATGAAGCCTGGGTCCGTCGTCTTGCCCTGGACGCCATGCAGAGTCCCCTGCTTTTTGGGCAGCACGGTCAACTGCGTCCTGGACACCGCAATGGCCGGGCCACCTGTCTTCGCTTTGAACTTCCAGGGGCGCGCCTGCGGGGTGATCGCGAGCACTCCGCGCAGGTCGGGGCCGGCAGGCTGAGAAGCACTGCCAGCTGTCACCGGCGCGGCCTTCAAGAAAAGTTCATCGCTGTCATCGATCTTGACATAGACGGCCTTTGGCATGTAGTAGAGTACGACCACGCCGTCCGAGACCATGGACGGGCGGCCCTCCACCGGAGGCTCCAGAGCGTTCAGCTCTATGCCTACCACTTTGCCTGGCGCGCCACGGACATACTTCGGCGGCAAGACGGATTCTGTCAGGATGACCTCCATGCCAACGAAGAGCGGCAGCAGCCCCGGCATTTTTGCGGTAGCGCCGATGTTGGGCTCCGCGCGCATCTCGTCGTAATCAGGCTTCGCGAGGCGCGCAGCTGGTCTGTCGATTGCTGGGACGTAAAAGCGCAGCTGGCCAGCATCGTGCGCATCAAGCTTGGCCTGTGCATGCATGGCGTAAGAGACGATGCGCCACTCATAGGCCGACTCGTACCAGCCTCGTGCTGAACGCAACCGAGGGTCCCACTGAGGTGGCTGAGCGGCTTGGCTGCTGCTGGCAGCAGGCTGAGCAGCACCGCTAGAGCTAACGACCTCTGTTTTGACGATCGCCTGCCATCTCTCGTCAGAGATCTTTTTTCCGCCTGGAGTTCTCATGGCGTGGAGAACCTCGAGTTGCAACGGGTCTGTAAAGCGCTGCATCTGCACGAAATCGATGACGTACTCGATGTCGGCGAGCAACTTCCTACCCTGTTGGTGTTCGTAGGATTGTCCCGCGTGAGGCGCCAGCAGGGAAGCGGTGGCGGGGACTGGCGGCAAC